ATAAGTATAGATTGTAATCGTTTGAAACCACACAATTATTCTCTTCTGGTTTATGGTTTGAGGTCATAAGGATCCATGGGTCAAAGATAATAATGCTTGATCTCATTCTTAGTGGTAAAGGATTTATTGATGGTGTATTTCTTGTGAAAAGTTTATTTGGTTTATTTCTACCTAAGATTGTATGGCTTCATCTGTAGCATTTATTTATTTATTTAACTAAACCTCTCAATATGCGAAAGGGCACATTAGGTTTTAACTAATTTAAAATTGAATTGAGTTGGACCCATAATAGGTAAACTCTCTAGGTATTTGTTTTTTATTCTCCAGATTCGAACTTGAGACCTTATTCTAAAAGAATTGAATTCTTTTCACTCGTACCAATAGGTTATTAATTTATCTATAGCATTTATAGTTGGTCTCTTGTTTTCTTGCTTGTGAAATGACTTTCTTAGATTTCTCTAAATATTTGCCATTCAATTCTACTTGTGGCATTGTACAAAATGAAAAAGTCTTGGTCTAGCTTTGTAATTCTTAACTACTTGTCATTACTACTCTTAATAGCCAATTCTTGACAATGCTTTTGGGTCATTTCGATTGCTACAGGGTAGTTCTACTGGAGACATGATGTTAGCATTTTCTGAGCAAATTAGGAACATTCAATAGATAACTCCCGAGTTTTTTTCATCGCAGTTTATAGTGTGTTCTTTTTTTTTCTTTTCTCTTCTTTTTTTTTTTTCTTTTGGGTACAAAGTGTATTCTTTGTAAAGACATTTTTTTTAAAAATTTTGTCAAAGCATATTTAATTTTCATTAATTTATGTAAATTTTGTTTCTTTCTTGTAGTGATGCATTTGATTATTTCATTAATTTCCTGATCTCGTGATGGGTTAACCAAAATTTCAACCGGTTTGCTGCAACATTGTCTCCCCTAACAGAAGAATTAAGCATAGGCAAAAAGGGCAAATCAGCCCTTCAACGAAATTCAGTCACATATGAACCCCCAAACTCCTCAGATGGTGGCACATTACCCCTTTTTAACTGTAACGCTATCTTTCTTCAATGTTTGCTTACATGGCCGTTGTTGGACTTATTTTGAGTCCATCTGGACTCTTTTTTGGGTCCACTTTTGCTGATCTGTTAGTGGACCATTAAAAATATTTTTTTTCTTTTTTGTCTCTTTCTACTCCTCCCTCCTGTTCCCCATTTGCCAAAAAAAACGTCCATAAAAGTTTTTTAAAATGCTGACGACCCATGACCGGCTGGTGGTGCTACCGTTGTCACAATACAAAAACACTCTGCTTCTCCTCGAACACTCTTTGTAGCGGGAAAAATGAATCTCCCCGAAAAATGCAATCGGATCGAATGCTGGCTTGCCATTGTATCTAAACACCAAAATTGGAGCTAATCTAAACTCTTGCTGCTAAATCATCATCTTCTTCCTCGTGAGTCTTCCGGCACATAAACTAAACTCTTCGTAAGTCCATATATATGATCCGCCACATAATCCAAAGCACTAACAACTGCAGCCACATTGATATTAGACATGTCTCAGCTCGAAACTTACAGTGTAAACCTCATTCTTAACTTCAATCCAAGATTACAGATCTAATATTTTGGCAAGCGTCAAATCGTCACAACAGATTAATTAAATCCTAGAATAAATAAACTCATTAAGGAATTACCCATTACATGGAAATAAAAATTGTTCAATAGCAATTATTTAGCGAATCGAAAAGCAGTTAGATCAAAGCAATGAAGCAAATAACACATTTATTTATCCTAAATAAGATTTTGAAATCTTAATCATAAGAAAAATATCAACTAAAACTACCACTACAAAGCATAGAGGAACTTAAGAGAAAACTACCCTTCTTGTAAAAAAATACTTATTTTTATTTCTAATATTATGTATTGTTAAAGAATATAAGAAATAGTTTGGGACAATTTACCCAGGATGCAATGAACAGACTGCTTGTATGTAAGTATGTTAAGTACTATCGGAAATATCGTTAGAAATCTGGCATTCAAATCTGTAAAATATTGAAATGAAATGAAATTGCCATGAAATTGTAGCAATGAGGCTGAAAATTGACAGCAAATAAAACTACAATTTGACAACAAATATGGCGCAATTTGACTGCAAATATGATGGAAATGAAGCTTTAAGTTGACAGCAAATATGGCACAATTTGATTGCAAATATGATGGAAATGAAGCTTTAAGATGACAGCAAAAATGTGCAACAAACTAAGTTGCAAATGTTGATGAAATGAAGTTGCAATAAGTAACAACTGAAATGCAAACGCTAATGATTGAAGAACTACAGAGTGGCTGCCAAATGAAGCATGTAGCAAAAGTGGTTGTCTTTTACTTGTTTTAGATGTACTTTTATGGTTGCTTTTTAGTGTAGAAAAGTTGATTAGACAAAATAAGAAGCTTTTTGAATTGTTTTTAAATTTATTTTATGCTATATATACCAGAGATTGTTAATGAGAAAATCTAAGTTGAGTGTTATACTCCTTTCCATTTTCGCTTCTGCTCTTCATCTTCTTCTAGATGTTCTATCCATTTCTTTGTGAGAAAAAAAACAAAAACAAAAACAAAACAAGTAGCAATATTTCCAACTCACATTTACATTGAAAAATGATTTTGTCAGGCAAAGAGCAAAGTCTGTGCCGTGCGTGTTAAAATAGGAGATCATGTGTTTAGCAGTTGTTGGTGTGGCCATTGTCACTATTGTTGGCAAGGTCAAGACGTGGATTGTTACTACTTTTGACAAGGCTAAGGAGTGGATTGTTGCCACTATTGTTGCTGTTGTTGTTGCTAGTGTTGGTAAGGCCAATGGGTAGTTGCTGCTGTTGGCAAGGCCAAGGGGTGGGTAGTTGCTGCTGTTGGCGAGACCAAGGAGTGGGTTGTTGCTACCATTGGCAAGGCCAAGGAGAGTGCAAGACATTACAAAGGTGACCTCTATGTGTTTCTTACATGCATTGTTGCTGTTGTTGATGGCTTACCCTTTGGCTACAACATGGGAAATTCAAGTAAAACATTGGTAAAAAAAAAGAAGCTATTTTGAATAATTTAACTTCAAATTTTACTTTTGTATGTTATAATTCTAAGTTTTTCATGGCTACAATTTATAATTGCTATAAATATTTAATCATCTATTGTAAATGAATTACTTGGCAGGGGGAATCACAATTATGAATGGATATCTTCAGTGCTATTTCCCCACAGTATATGAAAAGATAAGGCAGAGATTTGAAAACAACTAGTGCAAGTTCAGTAACCAACGCCTCAATGCCTTTACCTGTTAAGTGGGAAAATCCCACATTGAGTATAAAATAAGAAGCTTGTAGGGTAAATATAAGGAGGGTTACTCCACCTATTGCCAATTGGTTTTAGGTTGGATGCAAGCCTTGTGTTAAGCCCACATGCAAGATTTTCAATATGGTATCAAAGCCCAAGTTCTGTTCTGGGAAGTCCGTTGTTAGCCCACTTGACAGGACTCGACATTCATAGTGGACTTGCACGTGAAGGGGTGTGTTAAGTGGAAAAATCCCACATTGAGTACAAAAATAAAAAACTTGTGTGCTAAATATAAGGAGGGCTACTTCACCTATTGCCAATTGGTTTTAGGTTGGATGAGTCTTTCTTGTACGAGTAGTTAAGAATTATAGGTAGAACTTTTGTTGGTTGTTGACCAACGAAAAACATGGGAGTAAGAAATAAGAACCGAAGTCGTCACAGGGTTTGAATTTGGATTGCAGGTGTTGAGCCCACATGTAAAATTTTCAATATGGTATCAGAGGTCAGGTTCTGCCCTGGGAAGCCCGTTGTTAGCCCACCTGATAGGACTCGAAGTTGAAGATATTGGGCCTGCATTTAAGGATGCGTATTAACCCACAGAACCTGACATTCATAACGAGCTTGCACGTGAGGGGTGTGTTAAGTGGAAAAATTCTACATCGAGTATAAAAATAAAAAACTTGTGGGTTAAATACAAGGAGGGCTACTTCACCTATTGCCAATTGGTTTTAGGTTGGATGCAAGTTTTTGTGTTAACCCACATGCAGAATTTTCAATGTGGGCTCAACACAAGGCTTACATCCAACCTAAAACCAATTGGCAATAGGTGAAGTAGCTCTCCTTATATTTAACCCACAAGTTTTTTATTTTTGTACTCGATGTGGGATTTTTCCACTTAACACACCCCTTCACATGCAAGTCCACTATAAATGTCGGATCCTGTCAAGTGGGCTAACAACGGACTTCCCAGAACAGAACTTGGGCTTTGATACCATATTGAAAATCCTGCATGTGGGCTCAACACAAGACTTGCTTCCAACCTAAAACCAATTCACAATAGGTGGAGTAGCCCTTCTTGTATTTAACCCACAAGTTCTTATTTTTATACTCGATGTAGGATTTTTCCCACTTAACATTACCTTATCTTCATATCTTGGTGCCCTAGTAGCTTCTCTAGTAACACTTCTAGTAACAAAGAAGTATGGACATCGTGTGACTATAATTTGTGCAGGACTCAGCTTTCTTATTGAAGCTGCTATTAATATTGCATCTCCCCACCTACTCATACTTTTTTTAGGTCAGATTATGCTTGGCTTTGGAACTGGATTCAAGGAACATGTATATTAATAATGAATTTGCTCAATTCATATTGTGTTAATTCCATTTATATTCAAATATTGATTAATTCATAAATTCAAGCTGTTCCACATTATTTATCGAAAAGGCAACCAATCAACCCCCAAGGAACACCCAAAATAAAATCAAAATAAAAAATAAACCGAGCAACTTTAAAACCAAAGGGGGTAAATATAGAACAGAAAAGCTGAATTATTCGGTATGGAGGATCTCTTTTGGCCTCACAGGAGTATTAGCACTTTTTGTGACAATGGGAGCAATTCTTGTTCCCGAGACACCTAAAGGATTAATTGAGCAAGGAAAAAGGGAGAAAGTCAGAAGAATCCTTGCCGAAATTAGAGGAACTAATCATGTCAACATACAGTTTGAGGACATGATACATGCTGGTGATTTGGCTAACTCTATTGAGTAACATTGGAAATTCATGTAAAACATTGGTAAAAAAAAAAAAAGAAGCTCTTTTGAATAATTTAACTTCAAATTTTACTTTCGTAAGTTATAATTCTAAGTTTTTCATGGCTAGAATTTATAGTTGCTATAAATATTTAATCATCTATTATAAATGAATTACTTGGCATGGGGAATCACAACTATGAATGGATATCTTCAGTGCTATTTTCCCACAGTGTATGAAAAGATAAGGCAAAGATTTGAAAACAACTATTGCAAGTTCAATAACCAAGGCCTCATTGCCTTTATCTGTTAAGTGGGAAAATCTCACATTGAGTATAAAAATAAGAAACTTGTGGGTTAAATAGAAGAAGAGTTATTCCACTTATTGCTAATTGGTTTTAAGTTGGATGCAAGTCTTGTGTTGAGCCCACATGTAGGATTTTCAATATGATATCAGAGTCCAGGTTCTGCCCTGGGAAACCCGTTGTTAATCCACCTAACGTGACCCGAAATTGAAGATACCGGGCCTATATTTAAAAGGGTGTGTTAACCCACGTGACGAGACCTGACATTCATAGCAGGCCTGCACGTAAGGGGGTGTGTTAAGTGGGAAAATCCCACATCGAGTATAAACTAAGAAGCTTGTGGGTTAAATATAAGGAGAGCTACTCCACCTATTGCTAATTGGTTTTAGGTTGGATGCAAGTCTTGTGTTGAGCCCACATGCAAGATTTTTAATATGGTATCAAAAGCCAAGTTTTGCCCTGAGAAGCCCATTGTTAGCCCACCTGATAGGACCCGAAGTTGAAGATATTGGGCATGCATTAACAGGACCTGATATTCATAACGGGCCTGCACATGAGGGGGTGTGTTAAGTGGGAAAATCCCACATCGAGTATAAAAATAAGAAACTTGTGGGTTAAATACAAGGAGGGCTATTCCACTTATTGCCAATTGGTTTTAGGTTGGATGCAAGTCTTGTGTTATCCCACATGCAGGATTTTCAATTTGGGCTCAACACAAGGCTTGCATCCAACCTGAAACCAAGGCTTGCATCCAACTTGAAACCAATTGGCAATAGGTGGAGTAGCCCTCCTTATATTTAACCCACAAGTTTCTTATTTTTATACTCGATGTGGAATTTTCCCACTTAACACACCCCTTCACGTGCAGGCCCACTATGAATGTCGGGTCTTGTCACATGGGTTAACACGCCCCCCTAAATGCAGGTCCGGTATCTTCAACTTTGGATCCTGTCAGGTGGGCTAACAATAGGCTTCCCAAGGCAGAATTTGGGTTCTAATACTATATTGAAAATCCTGTATGTGGGCTCAACACAAGACTTGCATCTAACCTAAAACCAATTGGCAATAGGTGGAGTAGCCCTTTTTATATTTAACCCACAAACTTTTTATTTTTATACTCAATGTGGGATTTTCCCACTTAACATTACCTCATCTTTATATCTTGGTGCCATAGTAGCTTCTCTAGTCACACTTCTAGTAACAAAGAAGTATGTACATCATGTGACTATAATTTGTGCAGGACTCAGCGTTCTTGTTGGAGCTGCTCTTAATATTGCATCTCCCTACCTAGTCATACTTTTTTTAGGTCGAATTATACTTGGCTTTGGAACTAGATTCGAGGAACATGTATATTAATAATGAATTTGCTCAATTCATATTGTGTTAATTCCATTTATATTCAAATATTGATTAATTCATAAATTCAGGCTGTTTTACTTTATTTATCGAAAATGGCACATATTCATCTCCTAGGAATCATCCAGAATATATTCCAATTAGCAATTAAGCTGGGCACTTTTATAGCTAATGTGGTTAATTATAGAACAGAAAAATTGGATTATTTAGTATGGAGGATCTCTCTTGGCCTCACAGGAGTATTGGCACTTTTTGTGACAGTGGGAGCAATTCTTGCTTCTGAGACACCTAAAGGCGTAATTGAACAAGGAAAAAGGGAGAAAGGCAGAAGAATCCTTGGCAAAATTAGAGGAACTAATGATGTCAACATAGAGTTTGAGGACATGATACATGCTAGTGATTTGGCTAACTCTATTGAGCATCTATTTAGGAAAACACTTGAGAGAAGAAACATACCAATATTGGTAATGGCCATCTTCATGCCAGCATTCAAAATCCTAACGGGCATGAGTTTCATTCTCTTCTATACTCCAGTGTTCTTTGAAAGCATCGGGTTTGGAGAAATGGCTCACTTTATTGCTCAGTTGTCATAGTAGCTGTTATGGTTGTATTTGCCTTTATCTCCATTGCCACGGTAGATCGATTAGGGCGAAGAGTTTTACTCATTAGTGGTGGAATTCAAATGATTCTATGTAAGGTAAGATATTCAACATGAATTTGCAAATGCATAAAATAAGAATAAATTACTCATAATGAAAAATTAGAAAATTCAAAGCACTGAATCATTTATCTTTAAAACAGATCATAATGGCTATAATCTTGGGACTCAAGTTTGGGGACAATCAATCTCTGTCCAAGGGCTATTCAGCATTGGTGGTGGTGGTAGTGCTTTGCCTCTTTGCTTTAGCCTTCGAATACTCATGGGAGCCTATAAGTACTGATAAGGTGTTGGATGAGATATTTATATCAGAAACAAAGTTAGCTGGACAAAGCATCAAAGTAGTTGTTGAATTTCTATTTAGCTTTAGAATAGCTCAAAGCTCCCTTTCTATGCTCTGCACACTCAAGTTTGGTATCTTTTTGTTTTTTGCTGGTTGCAATATTATAATGACCTTATTCGTCTATATGATGGTGCTTGAAACTAAGGGAGTTCCAATTGAAGAGACAATAGTTTTGTGCAAAAACCATTGGCTCTGGAAGAGAATAGTCCCTGCATCCAGAGTTTGGTGGGAGTATTTACAATGACAGTGTTGTTTCATTAGAATTGAGTGTTGAAGTTGTGCAAAAGTTTGCACATACTTTGCTAGTACTTTTGAAGAAATGAAGATTTTAAGAACTAGACTTCGTGAAACTGATTTAGTTTAGTTTATTCCATGTTGCATTTTAATTCTAGTTTGTCTTTATGTTTAGTTGCTCTTGGTCAATGCTCTTAGACAAACTAGCAAAAGTTTAGGAAAAGCTGTTTAGTTCATGTTTGCTACTTCTTGTTTTTTGTGACTTGTACCTATTTCAAGCTTCAATGAAACAGTTTAGTGATTCTGCTCTCCATTTTCATGGTATTTCTTCAAAGCAAAACCATTTTACTCGCTTGTGATTTGTATAATGTAATGCATATAAAATAAGTAAATACATATTAATTTACCTATAATTTTTAAATAAAAAAATAATTATAAAATGAGACGTTATATTATATCAACCATTGTACTCAATATAACTATGCACGTATCATTCCTTCCAATTTGTGTCTTGCCCATTAAAGAGCCAATAAATTAACGATGTCAATATATATTGCAGAAGAGCAGCACTAACTAATCTCTTCGGAAATTTATGAGATCGATACTGATTACCTATAGGAAATTTCCATTTTACATCTTTTCTTTTGGAAAATACATATCTACCAAATGCTCCAAACGTTTCAGTAAGACAGGAAGCTGTAATGCATGTATGATTTTGGGCAACTGCTACTTCGCTATCAAAGACTAAGAAGAAAAGGTTAACAAAATCTGTACAAAACGACCGGCAGCCAAAATTCCAATTCCATACAAACCCTTACCCGTAGGATCAATACAACTGCTGTGCCGACCTGATGTGGGAAAAAGAACTAGCCAGTAAAAAACTGTAGAGCTCCATACCTAAACCGCAACAACAACGTGAAGCACAAGTGCAAAGCTGCTTCTGTTTTCACCCATAACTATCATCCAGTTAGAACATTTCTCTCGAATCTATCAACAAGGGCTCCAGGCAACCATAACAAGAAATGGCAAAACCAGCAGGCAAAAGCAATGGCAATGCCTTGAGTACTCTTCAATTCCACAACTCAAAGCTCTGATCAATTTCCGCATCAGATCATCCTTCTCGTCACCATTTGGGTTGTCATTTGACTCCATATAAGAAGCTTTAACTGCAACAACAGTCATTACTGCAAACACAGCCTTGTGGACTGCTGCATCTGCTCGGAACATTAATCTATGTGCCTTTTCTCTCTTGAGTTTTGCCATGGTAAGTGCATGGCGGGCTGCAGCAGATGCACCACGCAACCTATACTCGTCGAGATCAGAACCATCCAACAGTTCGAGGTCATGCTTTAAATAGTCACCTAAGCAGAAATACCGCTGGCTTGGCTAATCAGAAAAGCCCAGATTCCACCTGTTTATTCCATTTCTCCTGCCCATCATCTCTGATTTTAGAAACCCAACATTTGCATTTCACTAGAAGGTAGAAAAGACCCAAATTTCTTTAACCAGCTTCTTTGAAGTTTCTGGTGATGATTCCTATCAAATCCATCATAGCCCATGGAGAAATATCCCATGCTGCCTGTATCTCGTCGTGAAAATATTGGTGAGGGAACTGTAATGGAGCTAAAAAGGATGACAGCTGAATGTATAGGTAAAATGGTGATGGATGTTACCAAAAGAATGAGAACCATCATGATCCGCCAAGGTCGCATTGATTTTCCCAAAAACTGAAATTCTCCTCTGGGATCTGTGCTTTGAACCCTTGTTCAGCTTGGAAATACCAAATTGTAAAGGAACAACATCTTTTTATCTATTCCATTTTCTTTAAAACCTAATTAATATTAATTAATATTATATGAATGGTTAGAAAGTATTGTTTTTTTTTTTAACATATTTGCAAGGGCGGGTTTCGAACCCAGCCCGAGGAGAGGGGAATGCACCGGGGTGGTTATTACCATTAGGCCGCAAGGGCCAGGTGCGGTTAGAAGTATTGTTGAGAATAGTGAGTAACACAATTTAAATAGAGAAAGGACAGATCAAAATATATAATAATAATATATTAAATAGGGAATAGGTTTATGATTTCCATGGTACAAAAATTAGCTATTACAATTAATACTTTAAAATTAAGTAATAATAGAAAGCTTTTTCATTCTTTAAAAACAAAAGTAAAAAAAAAGGAAGTAATAATGGAAAGTTTAACGAAGAAATGTCATCATTAAAAAGACTGAGATAGATATCAACAGAGCGTTGAAGAGTGGGATCAATTAAAAACAATTGAGAACCAAAGAAAATAATATATAAATTAAACTTTATAGTTGATTTAATAAAGTTATTCGAAATTACAAGAAAAATTAACAAAATAAAAAGAGTTATTAGTGCATGTAAAAATCAATAATAATGCAAGAGTTTATTTTAAATTATGTAGATGATGTTAGATTTTATGATTATCAGTGTAAATATTATATAAATAAAATAATAAAATTTTTAGTAAATATTAGTAATATAGAAGATCTTGAAAAATATTATCTACTAAAACTTATTCAAAAATTGAAAAATTCTATAGTGGACTTAGAAGCAGATTTAAAAAGATTAAAATATACTAAACTAATGTTATTTTTATTAACAACATAAAGTATATGTTAAATTTGTGTAATAATATTGTGTGACAGGTAGAGTTTATTATTTATGTAACGATCTAAGTGTATAATTGTGTAATAATATAATTTTATCCATGTCATATAAGATCCGTGCAGAATTCAAAGCCATCTCAACATCATTTTCAACCCACCACAAGTATTTGGAAGAACTGCAAACAAATGCTGTTCCGTTCCATTATCATCATATTCCTCAATCAAGCTGACCCCAGGAATAGGATCATTTTTAACTAAAGCAGCACGGATGTTACGATTATAGCACTTTTCATATTGCGCTTGACGAGATCAAGAGGAGTGATGGCCGTGTCAGTCAGACCACAGTTAAGGATTCTGCCAGAAGTGCAAGCAGCGTAGAATGCAGGCAAGTACATCTCAATCTTCTTTCCAGGCTCATTAAGCGAAGGGATCGATGACAAAGCTCCTTGTCTTGATCAGTAGCGCTTCGATCGAGAGCCACTGCAGATGGTGAATCAGCCCTTCCAAATCCCTAAAAACAATTTAGTCAGACATAAATGAACCATTTTTCATTAAGAAAAAAAACAAGAAAAAGAAAAAAGAACTCAGGTAACATAAAAGGCTTTTGGAACATCAAACACTTAACTTAAAAAAAGAAACCCAGCTTTTACTTACAAAAAATGCAAATTATAGAAATTAGCAGTCAAATAGGAGTAAAGAGTAAATTTGTAACTGAGTTGTTTCTGGAGTGGCAGGACAGCATTATCATCCAACAACAAAGAAATAGCTTCGAGAATCCAAACGATCTGAACATCAATTGAACTTTAAAGCTGATGGCAATGGATACAATAGCATCTATGTATATATATATATATCAAAAGCAAGAAACTAGTTGGATCAGTTTTCTGAACAAAAATGCAAATTTGGTATATTTGGCAATTGGGATGCATGAGCTAGATTGTAACATAATATACAAATATGAAGGATGTGCATAGGTTTAAATGACTGTATGGTAATCAGCTTTAGTAAGAAAAAAAAAAAAAACTACAAAAACTTAACATAGAATTAGTAAACTTCTCTTTCGAAGTGCAGATCTCCTATTACCATGTCCATGCTCACTGGAAAAATACAAAAGTGCATCAGAATCATCTCTAATACAACAGAAGATAAATAGTTTGCTTTGAAAAGGAAGCATGTCAATTTCTGATTTCATTTTGGATAATCTCATTAGTCGAAGGTCAAAACAACATAGAAAAACAAATCATAGTCAAGCAAGTTATCTTCATCTAACTTCTCTTCTTGTCCCATCAAATGCTGCCCACTCAACCTACAAAATTCAATAAGCCAGTCCAATACAAAGAGGAAAACTACATTGAGGTCCAAATACGGTGAAATTATATCAGTATCAAAGTCTAATATATAATAATTGACAGCAGCACATGATCAATTGTAATGTATGTTCAAACATTTTCAGAAGCATAAGAATAACCATCCAAAACCAAACTGATATGTAGACAGTTAGTCAACCAAAAATGGTAAATATTAAGCAAATATTCACCTGTCACTACAAAAAAAATAAATAGAAACCAATTTCTATTTTTAAGTAGTTGCTAATGTTAAAAAGAAATTCAATATGTAAGAAGCATAATCTGGTGTACAATATATCAAAACTGAGAAGAGGAACCCTGAGAAACATAGATTGCTTATCGACTTTATTAGTTTTGCCTAGGGGTTCAGTGTTCTAGTCAGATTCCTTCATTGGTTAATTTGTTTTCTATATCTCCAAAAACCAAATTGCAAAACTAACCAGCTTTTCAAATCAAAGCACAAAACTTCCAACAGCAATCCAAAACTAATCAAGTCCACTAATAAATTTCTAAAACTCAAACCTCTAAAACTAATCAAATGTTGAAATAAAGCAAGAAATCAAAATGGGTAATTGCAATGTACAACTGAAAGAAGAGCTGAGGCCATTTATTCAAAATAGTTATGTAATTTTTTTGTCATTACAAATCGTCACATGAATTTAATTTTTCCTTTTCTCAAAATAGTTTTGTGCACATTACAAAATGCATTCTTAGGAGCATAAATTAGATTCAATAACTTAAGGAATCCAAATATTTTGGTCAAAAAGAGGAATGTGAAAAAAGATTATAAAAGAATTTCAAAAGTTGTAAAAACAACCCACAGACCGAGGAAAATACAGCATCCCTTCTTTCGGGGATAAAATCATTTTAAAATGTTAGGATCAATCTCCATTGATTCAAAATCAATCCACGGCTCATGCTTACTTAAAAATATTATAATAATACTTCTATCTCCTTTTTTTGTATCTTTTCTTATAGAACTTAATTTGGTCACATTGACATATTAAGTGTATTATTTAGAGCAAAAAACCATAAAGGGAAAATATAAACATTCTTTCTCTTTATTATTGACTATGGCACAATCTCATTGCAGAAAAATCAGAGGAAGGAAGCAAAATCATGACAATTTTCAATTTTTCGTAACTTAGCAGGATACTAACTAACATCTTTCTTTCTCTT